CGCTCGATCGGCTGTCCGGGCGCTGCAGGGCGCTCTGTCGGCTGTCCCGGCGCTGCAGGGCGCTCTGTCGGCTGTCCCGGCACTGCAGGGCGCTCTGTCGGCTGTCCCGGCGCTGCAGGAAGCCCACGGTGTCTCTACACTGCTCCCCTGCAGGGCCAAGGCGTGGTCCGCGTTCCCTGACCTATCTGTGCTCTTCGGATCCCGTGGGCCCGGCTGCTCTTCAGCCATACCCACGCTGTCACCTCTGCTTGATTCCAGCACCAAACCCACTCTTCCCTCTCCGTCCTCAGGTACAAGGTGCTGGGTTCCTGTGCTGTCTCTAGACTTCTGGGAGTTTTCTTCTGGGGTTCTGTCTTCAAGGCGTTTCGGTTTCTCCTCGGCGCTCTGGCAGTGCTGTGCTTTCCCACACCCTGAGAGCAGGCGATGGTCACAACTGTCAGCTGTGCCAGCAGCCTGGGACGCAGCCCTCGGCTTATGGCGGTTATTCTGCATATTCAAGTCCTCCAAAGGCTGCAAGTTCTGTGGGGAGTCATAGTCAGCAATGTAGGGCTTTATGTCTAGCACAGGTGTGCCGTGGATCATGTCAATTCCAGACAGGTACACAGCGCCACCTGAAGGGGAGAAAGATCCTCTGGCGTGCTTACAGTGGACAGGGGTACAGGCAAATGGAGGGAGGGATTGCCCGCTAAGTCTCTCTCCTGCACTTCTCTTAGCCCACTTAGACTGTCCTGCCTGGAAACCCACATCCTCACCTGCCAAACTCCTCCTCCTCACGGCTCACACACAACACCTCACTACAAACCTTCCTGGCTCGCTCTTCTCGGTCCCACAGAGGCATAAGTGAATAACCCTCCACTCAAGCCTTCTCATACAGAATGGCTTACGATGCCTCTGTGCCTTGACAGTGAGTGAGCAGGTCCCCGGAACACAAGCTGGGGTTCACTCATCTTTGCATCACTGCTGGGCACATGCCAGTCTTCAGCAGGTCACCAAGACCATTGTATGTTTCTGCTGGGGCAAGCAGACTTTAGGAGGCCTGACATGCTCCCCAACTTAGTGCCCATGCCCTGTGTAACCCCTTCTCTGAGTTTAACTTAATCTAAGCCAAAGAATATGGCAAAAGAGTTCTGATACCCTCCAATGATGATTTCCATATAGGACTCCTTGCTGGCCACAGACTCAACCTGACCAATTCTCCCTGCAGCCCGGTGAAATGCACAAGCACACTGGGAAAGCCCAGGTGCCAAGCAGCCATAAGATGCCCTAAAAATGTGGGCAGCCTTCAGGACCTCAGGGTACCTCCAGCCAACACCAGCATAAAGCTGGGGCCCTCAGTCCTACACCTATAAAGAAATGAACTTGGCAACAACCTCACTGCAGAGGACCAGCAAAGATGAGCCAGCAAAAATGAGCCCCAAAAGCTCATATATTTGAATACTAGGTTCGCCGGGCGGTGGTGGCGCACGCCTTTAATCCCAGCACTCGGGAGGCAGAGGCAGGCGGATCTCTGTGAGTTCGAGGCCAGCCTGGGCTACCAAGTGAGTTCCAGGAAAGGCGCAAAGCTATACAGAGAAACCCTGTCTCGAAAAACCAAAAAAAAAAAAAAAAAAAAAAAGGAATACTAGGTCCCCATCCTGCAGACCCCTTGAAAAACAGCAATGTTTTAACACATCATCAAGGTGTGCTGCCTAAACAGATACACTTTGGATCATTTTATTACATAGAACTAGAGATATGTCCATGAAGACTCAAAAAAGTCAGCAGGGCACAAGACCCTATAATTAAATATTAAGACAGGTCTCCAGCTGCCCCACTCAGATAGCTGCTGTCCACTTCCGGCTACTCGTACAGGGTCTCCTACCCTGACTCTTAGAACATTGACTGAATGAGAACCATATAGAGCAGGTGTTCACATTGATTCTGACTCTATTTTAGAAAAACATGGTTGCAAGAAGACCCAGATGTCTGAAACATACGATGTGCAAGCCTGGAACTGGGTAAAGATGGCACAAGACTATCTAAATGACAGGTCTCACAGGAGAACCCAAGAGTTCAGAGAAAACTCCCATGCTGCTCGTGGCTCCAGGCTGTCATTTGTCCCTGCGCGTGACCATTACTTACTCTGCTTTTCTCTTATCAACTGCCTTCTGACACAGGAGTGACTGGCCCATGATCTTTATGATGGCTATGAAAAGAGGCACTCCTGTCTCCACCCCTACACTATTCATAATTGATTAGTGTTTGCCCATTCACTTTTCTGATTTCACCTCCGTCAACAGAGAGAGGCTAAGTTCTCTGTAAGCAGGAATTTTCATCTGAGTTATTCACCAATGTATCTCTATCATTATCTAAAAAGCAAGATGTGTAGTGGTGGGCTACAGAATGAGAATGGGCTACAGAAGCTCATCTATTTGAATACTTAGTCCCCAGTTCGTGGGACTGTTTGGGAAGGATTGGGGATGTGCCTTGCTGGAGAAGGTGTGTCACTGGGCGTGGGCTCTGAAATTTCAAAAGCCCGTGCCTTTCCCAGTTAGCTCTCTCTGCCTCGAGCTTTTGGATCAAGATGTAAGCCCTCAGCTACTGCTCTAGCACCATGTCTGCCTGCTGCCATGCTGGTGGTCATGGACTATAATCTCCTGAACAAACACATTCTCTTATAAGTTGCCTTGGTCATGGTGTCTTACCACAACAATCAGGAAGTAACCAAGACAAGCAGTTTACGTGCATGCTCAGAAAATGTTCTAGAGCAGTTGTCCAATTTGGTAAGCCATCTTTTTTTGGAGGGGGGGGTTCAAGACAGGGTCTCTCTGTGTAGCTTTGGAGCCTTTCCTGGAACTCACTCTGTAGCCCAGACTGGCCTCGAACTCACAGAGATCTGCCTGGCTCTGTCTCCCAAGTGCTGGGATTAAAGGCGAGCGCCACCACTGCCCAGCTGGTAAGCCATCTTAATAAAACCAGGTGGATAAGCAATGACTTTGCTGGAAAACCTACCGACAACTGAGCACAATTCAGCACAGTTCAGGTCCCAAAAACAACAAAATAGCCTCTCGACTATTAAGTCCAGTGTCCTGAGGAGCACTGAAAACCTACTGGGTAAGATCCTCAGCAACAAAAACTCTGCAGAGTCAGAGAGGCAGGCCCATGCTTCCACCCCCTTCAGGAGCAAGCGATCAAGATGCTGCAGCCTGGATGGTTTCTCAGAAAATTAGGAATCGAACTACCTCCAGACCTGGCCATACCACTCTTGGGCATATACCCAAGGAATGCTGATTCATACCACAAAGATACATGCTCGACTATGTTCATAGCAGCACTATTTGTAATAGCCAGAACCTGGAAACAACCAAGATGCCCATCAACTGAAGAATGGATTAAGAAAATGTGGTACATATACACAATGGAGTACTACTCAGCACAGAAAAACAATAACAGCATAAAATTTGCAGGCAAATGGATGGAACTAGAAAACATCATCCTGAGTGAGGTAACCCAGACCCAGAAGGACAAACATGGTATGTACTCACTCATAAGTGGATTCTAGATATAAAGCAAAGAACAATCAGACTGCAACCCACAGAACCATGGAGGCTATATATATAGCATGGAGGTCCCTAGGACGACTGTGGCTTATAATAAATTTTAGTTTTACTCAAAAAAAAAAAAAAAAGATCAAGATGCTGCAGCCTGGAATGGGCTCCTGCTCCTATCTACATGCTGTCATCCTCTGCCTCCCTAACAAAAACTTGGTCTGTTAGTCAAGAGCGAGCGAGCAGCTCTCTGAGCTCGGGTAGAACTCAGTGGGTAGAGTGCTTGCCTATTATGCACAAAGCCCTGGGTTCAACGCCAGCACCACCTAAACGGAGTGTGATCAGTTCTTGGGAGATAGAGGCAGGAGATCAGCAGTTCAAGGTCATCTTCAGCTCTATACGGATTTCAAGGTCAACTTGGATACTTGAGACCTTGTATCAAAAACAACAACAAAACAAAACAAAACCAAGAAGCTCTCTGAAAACCTCCCATTAAAAGCAATCCCATCTTCTACAACGGCACTTCTACGGTCTGACAAATGTTAAAGCCGGTAATGTAACATCCCAGGCCACTAAAAACAGCACAGCTGTGTGGCCTGCACTGTAGTCTAAATGTCTCTTTCCTTCAGGCTGCAAAGAAGAAATAACACCACTCCTCTCCTGCTTTCCACATGTGCATGAACAACTGGGCACTACTCATCACAACTGAAAATAGTCAGTGAATTTTAATCATCTTGTATTTCCTACATCCCAAGTCTTAAAAACGTTATTACTAATCTAATGATTACAAAATCTACAAGTTTTAAAAGTAGCACTGGTTTTTTATAGCAGAATGATAAAAACAAGCTCTGAGAACCCCTAAGAGTTAGTTTTGTAGTATCCCCAATGCTGATACCCTTTCAATCACTGTACATCCCTAAGTGCCTGAGGGCTCTCAAAGGTGACACCACCAGTGTTGGCATGAACAGCAGCTAACAGTGAATTCTAAGCTGATTTGATAAGACTTTTAGGAGTAAGATAGAAAAGGTCAAAGCAGAAGTGAGTGAGCTACCTCCTCCTTGCCCAGCGTGGCCAGCATTAGTAGAGTACAATGAGTGAGTTACCTTCCACCTTCTCCAGCCTGGCCAGCGTCAGTCCTATCGCATTAGGGCGATGTGGGCTCCTTGTGGAGAACACTCCAGTCTTCGCCCCATTCAGCCTAGGCGGCTGCACTTTTGCCTTGTAGTTCAAATGGCCATTTTTGTGAAAAACAAACAAAATCCTATTGAAAATAAAAAAAAAAAACCACTTGTTTAAAAAGAGGGCAAATTATTTTAGTATAATGATTTTGGAAAGAATGTAATCTCCCACTAATTAACAGAAAGAATAGTTTTTCTTAAATTATCAGTCATAGAAAATGAGCCCTCCCTCCATCCTTGTGGGAAGAAAGTCATCTCCACATGCTTAGTACTCAACACAAAGACGGCATACAGCAAGAACTTAAGACTGGTATGTGGCCAAGTGAACACCACTTTGAAGTGCCTGCTGTTTGCCATGCAGTATGCTAACGTTTTCATACCCATTTAGTACCATAACAATCCTAGGAGGTATTATTTAGCCCTCACTCTGAGGGTGAAGAAATCGAAGCTCAGAAAAGTTCAACCTGGCAAGGCCTTTCTAAACAGAATATGAAAGCCAGAAACCATGAGGAAAAACAATTAACAGGTTTGAATTAATTAAATCGTTCAATCTAGGTCTAGGAGATGTTTGCTATACATAGTGGGTTAGCTGATATTTACAATATGTAAGTCATTCTTACATAAATCATCAAGTAATGAACTCAACACAGGACTCAAAGCAAAGAACAAGAATGTGCAACAGCTAACACTGAGTCTCAATAATAGTTCAGAGGACAAACAAAAAACCTAACACTGTATTTCTCTACTGGGCAAGGTAAACATGGACAGAAACCGAATTCCTAGTGAGAGCAAGTAGTATCCAAATTTTTAAGGCTTTCTGTCTTTTAGAAAGGGTAAACTGAATTCTTCAAAGGCCTACAACAGAGCCTTTCTCTAAAAAAGGTCAGGTGGTAAATAGTTTAGGATTTGAGGCCAACCAGTGGCGGTTTAAACTATTCTGCTACCAGAGCAGAATTTTACAGTGGTGGCCACACACAATACATAAACCAACAGCATGCCATAGACAGTATAGATTCAGATCATGCTACACATCGGGGGCAGCTGTGATCCCATAAGCTAATGTACACAAATAAGCAGTGAACCATATGCGGTCCCCAGGCCCCAGTTTGCTGAGAGACCAGCATAAAGACCCATGGGCAGAGTCAAGGAGGTCTATGGTTTCAGTTCAACAGAAGGGAGCCATCATGATCAGAACAAGCTGTAATTAAACATGTTCCCTTAGTGACTCCCAAGATCCTAAAGGTGCCCAAATATGCAAACAACTGAGTGCACAAGCTGAGTGTGGGAATCCATACATGATCCATAATCGTACAGATAGGGATGGTATAGATGGCAGGCTCCAGAGCTGCCTTCAACGGGCGAACTTTCTCAGGGCCCAATCTACCACTTCTAACTATAAAACAACTTACCAAACATGAGAAAACTGTTCTAGGCCCATCAAGGAATGTTCAGGATTATTAAAGATGCTCTTTCTGATCTTCAAACAGGCTCTGGAGTGGCTACAGATGGATGGCTGCCTTGGAGTACCATTCTTGGCCGTGAAACATGATTCCAAGTAGCCTATTGGCTCAGTGAAAAGATTTCCTATGAAAGAAAATTGGGTAAGATTACTCAAAAGTTCAAAGATGTATTGGTTTCATAGTTCTAAAATCTAGGTAAAACACAATTATTAAAGACATTATGTTTAAATACAGAGTCCTACTATGTAGCTCAGGGCAGCCTCAAACTCATGAACCTCTAGCATCAGCCCCTTGGGATCACAGCTGTGCACCAGCATATCCACCCCAATTTTTATTTATAATTATATAAATACATAAATCATATTAACATAATAGTATTGATTATATATTGAGGTACAATTTATAATTATAATTTATATTTATAATTACTTCTTTGTATGTTCTTTGAAGAGATGCCCCAGACCTCCATTTTACCTCATTTGCATTAAATCTTATTAGCACAACCAGTAAGATTATAAATCTGAGACTGTCTTCTCACAGAACATTTCCTTACTTTCTACTTTAAAAACTCTATTACTTATACAGAGAAAAAGTTATATGTAACATGTATGTAAGTTAAAGGATAATGTACCAACCAGCCACACCAACCACAGTGCTTATACTAACTGCTTGTATCTCTGTAGACTGCTTCCAGGAGCTGCAATCTGTGCTTTATCATCATCTGTTTCCTTCTAGAAGATGATCTTATATGTACTTCTGACCCTAAACAATACTTCTTTTACTCTGAATTCTATAAAAGCAGACACCACACTGTAAATTATCTTCCTAGACTGGCTTTCTCTGTCCCTCTATATTGTGTATGTTTCTGACAACTCTCAAGTTTTCTTCCAAGAGTATTTTTGGGTACTGCTGTATTATTTTTGCTTGTTTGGGTTTTTTGTTGTTGTTGCTGTTGTTTTTAAATCCTCGTCCATGCTCTTGTGGAAGAGGATTAAAGACGAAGAAACTACCAAATGCCAGCATCAGCCACATACATCCTAGCTCCCTAAGGAAAAAGATCATAAAACACACATGGTCGACCCGGCCAGCTACTGTGTTGGGACTAAGGCCAGGCCACACCCCGTAAGGAACATAATACGTCACTCTCGTTGGCCTGGGCGTGTCACGTGATCACGGGGACACGTGACCCTGACTTTGGCGGCAAGGACGAGAACGCCCGGCAGGCAGTTCGCGTTCTTCTCGGTGAGGAAGCCAGCGGCTGAACGTGATGCTGCCCCGGGCGCGGCGCCTCCGGTTCCCTATAGTTTACCTGTCTCCAGGGCCGGCTGGGCGCACCCGCACGGGGCTGCCGTGCAGCTGGAACCCCGCTCCGCCAAGCCGCGCATGGCTGCGGGCCGCTGAGTCGTCCTCACGCCGTGCGCAGCTTTCTGTTTCCGCTTCCGCCCTGTAGGCCTGGGCGCCTGCGCAGTAGTCGCTCGGCGCCGGGACTCGGAGGACGCTGGCAATGGCGGCCCTGCTGCCGCGTGGAGGGCCGAGTTGGGCGCCGAGAAGCTGAGCGCGCGGCCCACCTTCCACCCTTTATGCGGCTCTGGCGCTCTTGGGAAAGCCTGCAGCGTGTCCTCCGAAGATGGGACACGTGGATAAAGATGTCCACGCAAAGATAACCCTTGAATTACAAACGGCCTCCGTGACCAAAGAATGACCCCGTTTCAAAGGGAAATGGTGTGGATATCTGTGATCACATAGCAAAAGAGCTGGAGTTTAGGGGGCTTTTTCTTTTTTTACATTCATGTGTGCGTGGGAGCGTGTGAAAGTCAGATGACAGTGCGGGAGCCGGTTCTCCCCTTTCTCCGCGTGGCTCCAGGGATCCAATTCGGCTCGTCGGTGTTAGCGGGTTCCTTGACCCGCCGAGCTAAAGAACGGAGGTCAAATGTTTAAAATTCTGCTTGGGCGTGGGCTACGGGTTATATTTACCACTCTGCTCCACTTTTTCAGCAATAACTATTTGTTGAATAAGAAGCCCAGGTAAATCAAGAGTAGAGCATGTTACAGCCAACCCAGGCTGGGAGTTAATGTGGACGTTTCTTGAGCGCCAAACCACAGGAACCAAAATGAGAGTAAAGAACCAGCACATAACATTGGAAAGCTGGGATTTCAAAGTCTCATGGGTTTAGAAGGAGGTGGGATGGGGAATCCACCACACATTACCTGTTACATAAAATATTAAAAATACGCAAGTCCGAAGATTAAAGGTGTAGCCATGAAAAACTGTTTCTTCTAAGTTCATTGTCACTGACTAGCAAGTCACTAGTAGGAAATAACCAATACTAGGAGGCAGGTTTTAAAGAAGAAATTGTGAGTCTTTTAAAAATTAAAACTGATACTGTGTCCTCTATCAGGAGTTTTGTAAATGAAATTAGCAAAATGCTTTTTTTCCATTTTTCTTTTAAGGGCTACTGGTCTTGTCTAGTTAGAGAAACAAGTTTTGAGTACCTTTTAAAAAGAGCTGAATAAGCTGCAACTGCCACTAGTCGGCGCTGTTAACACCATAGTCAAAACAGAAAAGTGAAAGGTTTTCTCCAGAAAGATGTGCTAGTCACGATAATCGTACCAAAAGTGTGTAATTGCCAACTGTGCCAACTACTGAAACTCAAAGTAGACTTAGAGACACTAGACCTAGGAATCTGCCTTTAAAAACAACGGGGGGGGGGGGGGCTGGAGTGATGGTTCAGCAGTTAAAGCACTGGCTGCTCTTCCAGAGGATCCAGGTTTGATTCCAAGCACCCATGTGGCAGCTCACAACCGGCAGTAACTCTACTTCCATGGGATCTGATGCCCTCTCCTGGCCTTCACAGGCACCTGCACACATGTGCATACACACACACACACACACACACACACACAAAATTAAAAGCTGGGCATGGTGTCTTTAATCCCAACACTGGGGAGGCAGAGGCAGGCTGATCTCTGTGATTTGGAGGCCATCCAGGGCCACACACACACACATTTTTTTTTAAGTCTTCAGATGTAGTTCCCGAATGCCCAGACTCCTTGCTGCCACAGAAGAGGACAGCACAAAGTGGAGCTAAGGTGGATTCTTGGGGAATTATAATTCATGATCTCAAAGCTCTAAACCAACAAGAAAACAGGAATAATTTGATGCACACTGGTGCCTGGGTGTAATTAAGAAAGTAGCGTGGATTTATAGGGAATGGTGAAACAGGACAAGGGTCGAGGGAGATGCCCAGTGGGTACAGTACTTGCCATGCAAGTAAGGGACTAGAGTTTGGGTTGCCAGCACCCGTGTAAATGCTGGGTAGGTATAGTGGTCTGCAGGAGGTAGAGACAAGTAATCCCTGGAATAAGCTGGCTAGCTCAAGTATCAACTCTGGGGTCAAGTAAGACCCTGCCTGAATATACAAGATGGAGAGCAATTGAGGAAGACAGACATCAATATCTGGTCTCATATGCATGTGCATACATGGGCACCCATGAACCCACACACTTTCACTAGGACCCAAGAACACTCTTTTTTGTTGTTGTTGTTGTTGTTGTTCTGTTGTTGTTATTGTTGTTTTTTGAGACAGGGTTTCTCTGAGTAGCTTTGTGCCTTTCCTGGATCTCGATCTGTAGACCAGGCTGGCCTCGAACTCACAGAGATCTACCTGGCTCAGCCTCCCAAGTGCTGGGATTACAGGCGTGCACCTCCACCACCCGGCTGCAAGAACACATTTACACAGACATTTTTTTTTTTTTAAGCAAACTGGGGATGTAGCTCAGTTGGAAGAGCGCTTGCCTAGTATGTGCTCAAGCCCTCACATTGCATAAAGCCAAGTGTGGTGACACATGCTTATAAGGTGAGTTTCAGGCCAGCTTGGACTCTGTAAGACCTGTCTTCAAAAAGACAAATGATAAAAGAAAAACATGAGTAGAGAAGAGCACTTGTTGCTCTTGCAGAGGATCTGGGTTCGATGCCCAACACCCACATGGACAGGCATAACTCCCTATAACTGTAGTTCTAAGGGATCAGATGCTGTCTCCTGACTTCATGGGCACCAGGCATGCTATGGTACACAGATGTACATGCAGGAAACATACACATAAAAAAATTGACTGTTTAAAACCTTAGAGTGGGTTTGGGGATTTAGCTCAGTGGCAGAGCACCTGCCTAGCAAGCACAAGGCCCTGGGTTCAGTCCTCAGCTCTGGAAAAAAAAAACCAAAAAAAAAAACCTTAGAGCATAAGCCATTCAAAAAACAAGTGTACCCATGCCTAGATGTCACCTCAAGTAGAACATTGGAGGAGAGTCCTGAGCACCTATATTCTTGAAGGCTCCTTTGGTGGCTCTTATGTACCATGAGTGCTCTGTGGCACCCATTGTGAGGGGTGGGGCTTGCCTTTTTGATACAGCCTCAGAACCTAGCACATGGTCTTACTGAGTGAGCTTTTATTTGCCAAAATTTGTTATATTTTTAGTCTCCAATGATAACCCAAGGAAAATCCAAAACAATTGGATACCAGGGAATATTTTCAAATATTTTCCCAGAATTGTTTGTGTCCCTGCCCCTGGTCTCCTGTCATTTTCAGTTCACTGTGACCATTGTCACCAGATGAATTCCTGAAATACAAAACCTTCAACTTCTTTGGAAAGCCTTACTCCTTGGTTATCTAATAAATGATTAAGTCATTTACGTCTACAAGACTACACCCCGGCCTGGAGACATGGCTCAGCCGGTTAAGACTACTTTCTGTGGCCACGTGTAGTGGTGCATGCTTTAGATCCCAGCACTCAGGCAGAGGCAAGCAGATCTCTATGAGTCTGAAGCCAGCATAGTCTATATGGCTGGTTCCAGGGCGTTTTGGAGCTATACAGTGAAACTTTGTCAAAAGAAAGAATAAATACATTGCTCTCCAAGAGGACCCAGGTTTGCAGGTTTGCTTCCTGGTGCCCATGTCGGATGCCTCACAACCTCCTGTAACTCCAGGTCCGGTGGCTCTCTACGCTCCAATAATAGATTCGCTGCCTCATGACAGATCTTAACATGTAAATATGGACCTGACATTGACTCAATTAGCGTGCAGTTCTCTTGACCTTGAACTAGTCTGGGTGTCCTGTGTAGATCCTTCCCGTCCTTCAAATCTCCACATCAGGATAGATAAGCGCCCCTCCCATTACGTGTACTATGCATATGGCAGCAGCACTGTTCCCTTTGGGGGAGGTTATTAATGATATTTAGTGTAGATTTGAAGTATGAGGGTTAAGAGAAAGGCCCTCTCATAGGAAGGAAAACACCCCCGAGAGCAAGGGCATAGGCTCCTCGGAGAGGAAGCTGCTGTGCTCACTGCTTACTTTTGGAATGATTTGTTTCCCAATGAGACCCAGTTAAACCCTAGTGAACAAAGATGGTTTCGGTGTTTTTACCACCCCACCCCCACCCCAGCACATAGCAAGATGCTATCTTGGTAACACAGCTTAGCCCATAGTAATGCTTTCATGTATATTTTTCACAAATACAGTTGAAAAAATAAGAGGTCCAGATTCACACACAGAAGTAAATGACATTTATCAATTCCAAAATATTTTGCAAGAAGTTCCAAAGTAAGAATTGTTCAGATTAGCCAGGCGGTGGTGGCACATGCCTTTAATCCCAACACTCGGGAGGCAGAGCCAGGCGGATCTCTGTGAGTTCAAGGCCAGCCTGGTCTACCAAGTGAGTTTCAGGAAAGGCACAAAGCTACACAGAGAAACCCTGTCTCGAAAAACCAAAAAAAAAAAAAAAAAGAATTGTTCAGATTAGCTCAGAGAGCCTTGTAAAGCTTGAATAAAACTCTGATATTACAACATCAATAACTGACAAAATTCACAAGAAACTATATACTTTCAAAATATTAAGTGTTCCTATCAAAATGCTATCTTCACAGAATTACCAAATATATGTTTCTTCTTGGGAAAAATCAACTACTCACCCCTTCCCCTGCTCTTATTCATCCCTCCCTCTACTATCTCCCCCCATGTACATATGTACATCCTCAGACAGCACACACACACACACACACACACACACACACACACACACACACAGGCACACCACTATTGTGTATGTGTTAGAGCCTTTAAAAGTTAGTTCTCTCTTTCAGATAAGATCTACATGGAAAAAAACACCAGCTAAAATAGTAATGCAAATTGTAGCAGTTGCTACAATGTTTCAGTAAAATCATACAAGAGAAGATGTGTATGCTCCATTCATTTGGACTGCAACTTCATCCGAGTAGGGTTAAATCAGAACATAGCTATAGGTGTCATCTTCTCGACAGATCTCTTGAGGACCCTGCGGACGTGATGGTGTTGCTGGATCTTGACTTCCTTTGGCTTTTTCCTCCAATTCTGTAAAATCAAATAAAACACAGAATAACAGATTCATTAAACAATATTGGCAAGTTACTCACTTGGGAGAGGGAAGCCATGCCACAGACCACACACACACATTTTAGCTCGGTTAGATACTTAGATATTAAAATGCCATGTCACAGAAATGGTGTTTCTATACTCTTGGAATTTTCTTTTTAAGTTTTTTGAACAGGGTTTCTCTTGTGTAGCCCTGGTTGTCTTGGAACTCACTTTGTAGACCAGGCTGGCCTCGAACTAGAAGAGATCCGCCTGCCTCTGCCTCCCAAGTGCTGGGGTTCAAGGTGTGTGCCACCACCGCCCAGTGGGATTCTTTTTTATAGAGAGCAATATGTGCTGTTTTTTTAAAGATTTATTTTTATGTGTATTTGTGTGCTATGCTCATTTGTGTGTACCAGGTGTGTGCAGGAGCCTTTGGAGGCTAGAAAAGGACATTAGATCTCCTGGAATTAGAGTTACAGGCAGTTGTAAGCCACCAAATGGGTGCTAGAAACCAAACTTGAGTCTTCTGCAAGAACAGTACATGCTCTTAACCACTAAGCCCTCTCTCCTCCAGTCCAAGGTGGGTTTTGTTTGCTCGTTTTGTTTTTGGAGACAGAGTCTCATTATGTAGTCCCAGCTGTATGGAACTCACTGTGTCGGCTGGCCTGGAACTCACAGAGATCTGCCTGCCTCTGCCTCCTCAGTGCTAGGATCCCTCCCCATGGATCTTTTTTAGGGCTGGAGAAATGACCAAGTGCTCAAGAGCACTTGCTACTCTTCCAGAGGACCAGCATTTGGTTTCAAGCAATAAAACCAACCAGCACAGTTACATAGTGAGTACTAGCTCAAAAACCAAAAAAGAGCCATTTTTTGCACATAATTAATCCTATTCCAGATTTGTTTCTCTTACTATAATTTCTCAAAATGGGTAAATAGAATTTTCAGTTATTTACAATTTTTGGAAATGTGCCAACAGAATGTTGGTCGCCTGAAAGAGACATTGTACTTGAAAGGATCCAGTGCTATTCACGGCTCCCATTGACATAACTGGCTACCGTCAAAGACAGCTTTAAATCACGAATTCTGAGGGAGTTGTTGCTCTACAAATACCCTACCTTGAGAGAAAGCACAAGCGCCCTCACTGTCCTGGTGGGCATTAGAGTCCTGTTCTTGGGCCCCACCTGCTTCCTGGGTGTGTTCTGGAAGGTGGTCTTTAGGCCCCTCCCTGTTCTCACAGGTCTTGATGGAGAGGTCTTCAGGCCCAGGCATTTCATGGTAGGTTTCGGGGGAGTAGTACTCCAGCCCAGACATTGGTTGACATGTTTCCGGTGAATGGTCTTCAGGCCCAGGTGAGTCTTGGCTTGTTTTATAAGAGGAGACTGTAGGTTCAGTGGGTTTGTAGGTCTCATGAAAAATGAATTCAGGTTCAACTGCTTCTTGGTGTATTTTTGAAGAAATGTCTTCAGACACAGGGCATTCTCGTGTTTCAGAGAAGCAGCCTTCTGTCACAGCCATTGCCTGATCTGCTTGGGAAGTTCTCTCTGGGGTGACTGATGTGGGGCATGTATCAAGTGGACAGCCTTCAGGCACACCTGACTGGAGGAGTGCTTCAGGAGAGCATCTTTCTGGGCCAGCAGCATCTCCAAGTGTTGTCCAGGGAACAACAGCCATCTCTTGACGTGTTTTAGGGGAGACGACTTCAGGTCTGGCCACATCTTGGCACATTTTCGATGTATGCTCTCGAAGCACAGCTGGTATTTGGCACATTTTCAGAGAGAACGCCTCGGGTCCAGCCGTATCTTGGGGTACTTTGGAAGAAAGGTTTTGAGGCACAGCTGTTTCCTGGCACATTTTCGGAGAGAGCGCCTCGGGTCCAGCCATATCTTGGGGTACTTTGGGAGAAAGGTCTGGGGGCACAGCAGTTTCCTGGAATGTTTTAGGAGAGAGCGCCTCGGGGCCAGCCATATCTTGGGGTGCTTTGGAAGAATGGTTCTGGGCAAGCACAGCTGTTTCCTGGCACATTTCAGGAGAGAGTGCCTCAGGTCCAGCCATATCTTGGGGTTCTTTGGAAGAATGGTTTTGGGCAAGCACAGCTGTTTCCTGGAACATTTCAGGAGAAAGCGCCTCAGGTTCATCTGTGTCTGGGCACATTGCAGAAGAGTATTGAAGTACAGCTCTTTCTGAGCACGTGTTAGGAGAGAGGTCTTCAGGTTTGGCCCTGTGTCTGTGTGCTTGAGAATGGTTCTGTGGTGCTAGATCCTGGCACTGAATGCTTTGTTGGTGTGCTTCAGAACAGTGTTCTGCCGGCCCAGCTTTGGGGGGGCATGGCACCAATGGGAGGGCGTCAGGCACAGGGTGGACAGGGAGCTCCGTTTCTTCCTCAGCGGGGTCCAATGCTTTCTGCATCCTTTGCTTCTCTGTCGGTGACTGAGGTGGTGACTGAGGCTGTGCCCTCGCCGCGGTGCCCCCCTGTCTCTTCGGGCCCCTTGGGTTTCCTCTTCCTGTTCTTTGACACTTGCGTTTTTTCTGTTCTCTGCAGAGAGACCAGAATTAATGTCAGCCACAGGGCTGCAGGGTCCAAATGAACGCTTCCAAGATCCACCCCTGTCCCTGTGGCCCTGTTACATGATCTTAAACAAGCCCTTACTCTCCCCAGACCTAGGTGCTCAACTGCTAAGAAAGTAAGTGTTCCTGTAGGACTTTATGGTTTTCAAGTTAAAGTGGGGTGTGTGTGTGTGTGTGTGTGTGTGTGTGTGTTGTATGCATGCATGTGCATTGTATAGTGGGGGAAGGGGAAGAGAGAGAGAGCACGTTTGGGGACATAGTAGTTCCCAGGGTAAAGGGCTTAACCGAGTTCTATCTTCAGCACCCAGGTGAAAATAGAGAGTTTGTGGTGCCATGAGTTTGCAGTCTCAGAACTGGAGAGGCAGAGGTCCCTGGACTTTCCTGACCAGCTAATTGAACCCAATTGATAAACTCCAGGTCAGTGAGAGACCCTGTCTCAAAGGAGGTGGATGGTGTTCCTGAAGATGACACTTGAGGTTATCTTCTGGCTAGCTCATTCTTACACACACACACACACACACACACACACACACACACACACACACATATACACGTACCTGCACATACACATACATTAATAAGAAGGAGGGGTGTGTTAACCCAACCTAAGACTGTATGAAAAGGCCTGTGGAAACTCACTGCTTGGCAAGCTAATTAAAATTTTAATTAGGACGAGGCGATGGCTCAGCACTTACTGCCAAGCCTGGTGACCTGAATTCCCCCCAGGATCCATCCAGTGGGAGGAGAGGACTGACCCCCACACCTTGTCCTCTGACTTCTACCTGCGTGCATGCACCCACACACTCGCATACTAAATAAATCAAATATAACTAAAAATATAACTTTAAAAATAGAGTTTGGGACTGGAGAGATGGCCTAGAGGTTAAGAGCACTGACTGCTCTTCCAGAGGTCCTGAGTTCAATTCCCAGCACCCACATGGTGGCTCACAACCATCTGTAATGAGATCTGGCACCCTCTTCTGTATACATAATAAATAAATAAATCTTTTAAAAAAATAAAAAAAAATAGAGTTTGGCTGGAGAGATAGCTTAACAGCTAAAAAGTACATGCTACTTTTTCCAAGTACTCATATTTGGTTCCCAACATCCACATGGGGCAACTTACAACTGCCTATATTGCCAGCTCCAGGGGGATCTCATGTACCTCTGGTCTCTGGGTGCACCTGCACTCGTGTGCGCACACAGGCACAAACGTAATTTTTAAAATAATAATAAATCTTTAAAATACAAAACAAAGCCAGTGAGATGGCTCAGTCGGTAAAGGAACTTGCCACCAAGCCTGATTCATCACTGGGACCCTCATGGTGGACATAAAGAACCAACTACTGAAAGTTGTACTCTGATTCTCTCTCTCTTTAATAAGTAATCATCATCATCATCATCATCATCATCATCATCATCATCATCTTCAAGGCCAGAGAGGTGGTTCAGTGGTTAAGAGTATGTCTATACATGCAAACAAAACACTCATTCGGATAAAATAAAATGTAAAATAATAATTTAAAATTTATTTTAAAAATACCCGAGTGGCCTAAAGTTTAGTCCATGCTCCCTCATAACTAGGACAAGTCATTCAACATTCAACCTCTCCATTTCTTGGCTACCTTATAGGTAAGATGAGACAAATAATACCTTCTCGTTTTGTGTGGTGGCTTTAAGAATTACATACAACTTAGGTGAGTGACTCACAAACACAGTATAAAGTAGAACTGTGGTGTGACTGTAAGAGCCTTCTCTAGTCTTTCCTGAGTCTCTGGCACTGTCGTGGTTTACTTCTGTTACTTCAGGCTACGCGGTAGATGCCGTTATCTCCATTGTGCAGAGGACGAAATTGAGGTGTGCTGGAATATTCCACAAACTGCCCACGGTCAAGGACTAGGAAGTTGGGGGCGTTAGGCCGATCATCTTTGCTCATCAGCTGGGGCTTGCCCACCTGCCCTCTGATTTTAACGTGCATGGATGCTTTGCCTGCATGTACATCTATACCACATGGGTTCTGGGAGCGATGCTCCTGACTGCTGAGCTGCCTCTCCGGCCCCTGGTTTTTGTGTGTCAACATGTGTTCTCACTAAGCCCTGTGAGGCCTAGAACTCATAACTTCTAACCACCACTCTATCGAGTGCTGAGATTACTCATATGCACTACCAAGTCAAGCCTTAGGCACCTTTTTTTAACACCAACAAAACCAATAAAGGGTAGCAGGAGCTACCCTGCATGGTCCAGCTTCAGTGGCTGGAACCTGCCTCAGGGGATGGTAGAAACAACAGAGAAAGCAAGCAGGGGAAAGTTCTGTTGTCATGACTACCGCTGAGACATTAGGCAAGAGAGTTAACCCATTGGAGACTACTTTAAAAACAAAGAAAAATAAAAATTTAAGCATGCGGGGCACAACACCACCTGACTTAGAGGATACTTGGGAAGGTGGTGTGGGCATGGGCATGGCACGGCATGTATCATCCACACCCATCCCTCTCCCGGGTAAAGAACCTACCCAAAGTTCCATTGTGACGTCTGCTTCTCCTGCGCTTCGGCTTTTCTCTTCCTGAGTTGTTCTCTGTTTCTCAAACTCCAGGTTCCAATGACATCTGCCAGGTGAAAAGGAAAGTTACTGGGGAGCGTGACAGTGACCTGGGGGGTGCCTCAGCAAGTATCCCACCACAGAAGTTTTATTTATCTAGTTATTACTTATAAATCTTGTTATTTCATGTGAATAGTGTTTTGTCTGCATGGATGTCTGTGCATCACATGTATGCCTGGTGCCCAAGGGGGGCAAAAGAGGGCATTGGATACCTTGGACCTGGAGTTAGAGACAGTTAAGAACCACTATGTGGATGCAAGGAATTGAACCCAGGTCCTCTGAAGATCAGCAAGTGCTCTTAACTGCTGAGCCATTTTTCCAGTCCCTACAGAACTTTAGACTTCCTCTCTTGAGTTTTGCCCTTGTTTTTTGAGGTCAAGGACCATCTCCTCCTTATTCTTCCACCTTCAGAAAATGTGAAGGAGGTTTTTTTCTCTTGAGACAGGGTCTTACACTGTAGCCCTGGCCTGGCACTTGCTGTGCAGATCCAGGTTGGCCTCAGACTCACAGAGATCCACCTGTCTCTGCTCCTGGAGTGCTGGGATTAGAGGCGTGTGGTAATACACCCAGTGTAGCTAGCAGACCTTTAGTGAGCATTTGAGTGTGAAAAGCTTCGAGACCTACACAGATGATACTGTTCATAAGTGTGCTGTTGACCTACTGACTTACTCAAAATAAATTTATATTTGTACAAGTAATAAAAAAATAGATCATGTTCGGTCATCTTTGTCATAGTAACCTGTTTTCATTGTATTCCCTATTTCCATCCAGGCCATATATTATACAAAATAGTTAAGATAGCACACCATGATTCGATCTTTTATTAACCTAACTTAGATAAAAAATAGTTCCTTGACACAGCCTTCAACACTATAATTTTCCAGTGACATGGTACTGAACCTGGCTGATATGTTCTCTAGCCAGTCACTCCACTCATGGGAAACACGTAGCACGTCACTACTGATTTTTTCCTTATGTATCAAACTGTACTAATATCCAACTGATAGCTAGGCGATGGTGGCCCACTACTTCTGTGATCCCAGAACTCAGGAGACAGAGGCAGGCAGATCTCTGAGTTCCAGACCAGACAGGGCTATACAGAGAAACCCTGTCTCAAAACAAAAACAAAAACAAAAACAAAAACAAAAACAAAAAAAACAATAAATAGTAATAATAAAACTGAAATAAGCATGTTCACTCATATAACTGTTGTTTTTTTTTTCCTTTTGGAGGGAGGAGTGGTAGATAGGGTACATCTTGTCTAGAGGGAGCTGGTACATCCATGGTTGGCCTTGAATTCCCTAGCCTAAGCCTCCAGAGTGCTCCACCACACCCTGCTCAACTTATGCTTTTGTTATTAGATTTTGCCCTTAGGAATGTGTTTCTTAAAATTATTTGGGTCCTGTGAAAAGCAAGTTCTGGGCCGGGCTGGTGGCTCAGCAGGGAAGTACTGCCGCAGGAGTGGAAGGACCACAGTTCGTATCTCCAGCGCCCAGATGTGTGGGTTAAGTGGGGCTGGTGGTCGCCATGCAATTCTAGTTTGTGGGGCCTGGGACAGGGACTCCCAAAGCAAACTGGCTAGGTAGACTAGTCAAACTGGCAAGCTCTGGGTCCAGGTTGGACACTCCAACTCAATAAACAAGGTAGAGAAGGATGAAAGAAAAAGACACTTGATGTCAACCTCTGGCCTACACACACACACACACACACACACACAGGTCCGCATACATGCAAATATACATCACACACACAAAGTTTGCAAGAAAAAAATTTTAAGAAGTCTATGACCACCTAAATTTGAGAAAAACTAGTAGATCTTTGAGACTGCCCCTCTCAGCCTGTGGGGGTGTCCAGTCTGCACGGGAACTCCGAGAAAGGAAATACCCTTGGACCAGGGCACTTCTTGTTCTTTTTTTTTTTTTTTTTTTTGGGGGGGGGGTTTCGAGACAGGGTTTCTCTGTGTAGCTTTGCGCCTTTCATGGGACTCACTTGGTAGCCCAGGCTGGCCTCGAACTCACAGAGATCCACCTGCCTCTGCCTCCCGAGTGCTGGGATTAAAGGCGTGCGCCACCACCGCCCGGCCGGCACTTCTTGTTCTTAGGACAAGAGTTTTTCTTCTTTCTTTCTTTCTTTAGTTCATTCTTTCCTTCCTTCCTCCTTTCTTTCTTTCTCTTTTCCTTTCTTTCTTTCTTTCTTTCCTTCTTTCTTTCTTGTAGTGCTGGGAATTGAACCTAGGGCCTCACACATGCTGGGCAAGCATTATTCCCAGGGACCTTTGTTCCCTGTCCAGGGATTCTTGATGAGGAAAAGTCATATTTTTACCAACTTCTAAGTAAATTTACATTTTCCTTCAAAGTGTGATTGTAAGTAAAAGCCACAGTGGTCTTAGCAGTGTGGCACTTTATCACTCAAATAAATTACAGAATTCTTTCCTATATGACATTATAATTCTTGCACGTAGCTTCAATGATCACTTGTGGATATGGGTCTGTTGGATTTGATACTATGTTTATACTGTATCACATGACTTAATGCATCTATAAATAACACATACATTGCTGTGTCACAATTTTAGCAATCTTGATAACTATCTTAATACAATGATGACCTTTGTAATCACATGTATTTAATATTTTTTTTTATTTCAAGGAAAGATATATAGATTCATCAGAAGCTAACAGTTTTCACACTATGACCTAGGGTATCTCAGAGCCCAGGGTTCCACAAAATATTTTGAGAAATGCTGCTCTAGAACAGACAGACCTTAAGATAAATTAGAAGCCAAAAGAGTGAGCATCAGACAGATCAGGCCCTGGTGGAGCTCCATTACCACATCCTTCCAGATGTCCTGCCGGCTTGCTTTGCCACAGAACAGGAGTGTCCTGGGTATTTTCGCTATCTTTCATTGAAGAGACTTTCTCACTAACAGTTTGTTTACGGCCCCTGGGTTCTTAGCACCAAAATGCAGCTCTTCGGGTCACAGTCCATCTTCCCCTGGACGTACCCCACTGCTGCTTTCTATCCGACCCGTACCCAGTCAATAAAAGAGGAAAATGATGTGTCCCCCAACAGCCACCACCTCCGAAGGTCTGTCATTACCTGGAGCATGGGCTCTCCGTGGATGAGGTTCAGGTGTCTGGAGGAACTTCAGAGGAGATCCATCCTTTCCCACGTCCATTCTGCCACAGCGCCTTCTTGGTATTCTCTCTGACTTCACAAGCACCCTAAAAGCTTTTTTTAAATGTCAAAACTAACACTTAAAAACACACACACACAAGTTTGCTTGTCACTTCCCGCCTAAAAGTTTTATCTGTTTAGACCACAACTGTGGGCAAATTCCACTTTCTTTATCACACTGCACAGGTGTGAAAGGGGAAATGGCTGGTGCTGGCCCTGTCATCCTGCAAGCCTGATATTTATATAGGGCACCCCTCTGGCACAGTCTGGCATGTGCAGCCTCCCGCCTAGCATGAGGCTCCTTGTGCCAGCATGTGCCTGGATTCCTTGTAAGGCACCAAATGACTGGGGCCCGTGCACTCCAGGCTGTGGCCAGAGGGATGGTTTTTTGTGGGTTTTTTTTTTTCTGGCGTGTGTGCGTGTGTGTGTGTGTGTGTGTGTGTGTGTGTGTGTGTGTTTAATGAATGGAGATGGCCAAGTACAGAAAGAACCCTGGATCTAGGTTCTGACCAACTCAGTGGCCCGGAGCACCCCACAGCTCTTTCCTGTGACTCTCTTTGCAGAGTGAGTCAATAGTCACTCTCTCGCCTATTTCATACATTTCTTATGACAGTGAAGATTATGGAGTTAGCTATTGATTAATCTTCCTGGGTGTGGCTCTTTTCACCGTAACCTACTGCAAACGATTAGCAAGCCTTGCAGTGTTGTGCCTAGAATAGACAGTAAACAGACACAGAGCCCTAACTAGGCATCCAAAGCTCATCTTTACACTTGTGCTCACCTGTGCAGAATGACCAGTGAAACCCGCTGTTAATTCACCCAGGGGAAGCTGGAAAGCCTCTCTGAGTGAAAAGACACAGCATTATGAAATGAAGCTGAAACCAAAGGAACTGTTCTCTCTCCAATGGATCACCAGATTGATGAAGGAAAGGGGCACAGGAGACCGTGGCTCAGCCAGGGAGGGAACAAAGAGGCCGAGGTCAGGAGACACAGGCCCCAGTGTGTTCTGGAGCCAGACTGAGAGGGAAAAGGTTTGGATTCCAGAGCCACCCTAGTTCAGGTTAGAGTTGAGACAATACAGACCCGGACCGCCGAGACCATAGCACTGGCTGGTTGGGTCCGCAAGGATGGTAAAAATCCCCCAGCTACGTAAGACATCTCACTATGCCTCGCACACTGACAAGTGGCACTTTTGGTATCTCACATGCTGAACCTCGATAAATGTTAATGAAAGTGTGGGCCCAGCATAGTGGTACACACTGTCATCATGGAACTTGGATGGCAGAAGGATCAGAAATTCAAGGTTGAGCCAGGCAGCGGTGGCTCGCACCTTTAAGCCCAGCACTCAGGAAGCAGACCCAGGCAGATCTCTGTGAGTTCAAGGCCAGCCTGGTCTACAGAGCAAGATCCAGGACAGGCTCCAAAACAACACAGAGAAGCCCTGTCTCGAAAAACCAAAAAGAAGAAGAAGAGGAGGAGGAGGAGGGGCTGGAGAGATGGCTCAGGGGTTAAGAGCACTGCCTGCTCTCCCTAAGGTCCTGAGTTCAATTCCCAGCAACCATGTGTAATGAGATCTGGTGCCCTCTTCCGGCCTGCAGTCATATATGCTGTATACATAATAAATAAATCTAAAAAAAGTTAAAAAAAAAAAAAGAAGAAATTGTTTAAAAAAAGAGGAAGTTTAAGGTCATCAGCTACATAAGGAGTTAGGAGTCAGCCTGGGCTACACAAGAACTTCTTCCTCTCTCTCTGACTCTCGTACCACCTTCTCTCTCTTTATGTATACATATATATATATATATATATATATATATATATATATATATGTATATATACTGTCTCTAAAATACATATAAAGGTGGTAATCAGAGAATGTGGTGGTACACATGAGTTTCTTAGTGAGTTTAAATTATAACTTGATCTGCCAAATTCTAGTTACTTTCTTTTTTCTTGTTTGCTTTGAGACAACAGTCCAAGCAGACCTCAACTCACAAACCTCCTGCCTCAGCTTCTGGGTGCTATGATTGCATATGTGTGTCACCATGCTAGCTGAGTAATAAGTTTTTAAATATACTGAAGAGCATTGAGAATGATATAGCAAACACCCAAGTTCCTGACACTAAATTGTATCTTTGTACTGAGTGAGCAAGACTTAGGCTTCGTTCTGTTTCTTAGTCCCTGACCTTTCTCTTATGTAAGCCACTAAAAGTTCAGGTAACTGGGGGGGGGGGGGGGGGGGGGGGGGGGGGGGGGGGGGAAGCTAGTCGGAGGAGCCTCATAGAGAATAGTAACAGGTATTTTCTGTAATTTACCTTTTAAATTTTTTGAATTTTTCATGTATAGGGTTAAAGGTCTCAATATAATTTTGAAAATTATATGTTTTATGATCTAGACCAGAATTTTGAATGTTGTAAGGTTTTTGTTTATTTTGTTTTGTTTTAGACATGATGTCTCTACACAGCCCTGGTTGTCCTGGAACTCAGTATGTAGGCCAGGCTGGCCTCGAACTCACAGAGATCCGTCTGCCTCTGCCTCCTGAGTGCTGGGATTAAGGTCATGTGCCACCATGTCTGGCACTAGAATGTTTTAATTCTTTTTTTTTTTTTTTGAAAGAAGGAGGCAGAGAGAAGAGATGGAGGAGGAAGAGAGAGAGGGAGTAAGGAGTAGGGAGGAGAGAGAGAGAGAGAGAGAGAGAGAGAGAGAGAGAGAGAGAGAGAGCGCTGAGTTGTTGACTTTCTAGTTTGGGGAGTTTTGTCTGTTTTGTTTTTTTATTTGTTTATTAATTTGATGTGTATTAATTGCCTGCATGCATGTGTATGACATGTGTGCTTACTCCCCACAGAGGATAGTTCCCTGTGAACTGGAGTTACAGGTGGTTGTGAGCCACCATATGGGTGCTGGGAATTGAACCCGGGTCCTCTGGGGGACTGACAAGTGCTCTTAACCACTGTGCCATCCTCCAGCCCTTAATTCTTGATATTTGGGTGATAGTTCAATATAACAGTGTTATAGAACCCTTCTGAGAACACCTTCAGAGGATGGCAGAGGTACTTCTAAATCAGATTTTCCCCCAGAGCTCTTGACACCTGTTCAGAAATGTAGCAGACTAGACAGGATGTCCACTCTGTGCTACCTTCTGAGCAAAATCGCCAGGCTACAGAAGTGGGCGTTAGAGTCCCTGAGCTCTGAGTACTCAGAAGGGACAGAGGACATGCTTTTGGTTTTAAAGTCAGAGTTTAACGTATCCCAGGATGAGTTTTGAACATCTGATCCTTCTGCCTCCATCTCCCAAGTGCCAGAGGACTGGAATTACAGGTGAGCACCACCAGACCCTTTTGGTGCTGAAATGGAACCTAGGACTTCATGAATGGAAGTACTCTACCAGCTGAGCCATATTGCCAGCCCAAGGACACACCTTTTGTTGTTGTTGTTGTTGTTGTTGTTAAGGGCACACATCTTTATTGGACGGAAATAGAACTTAGATCCTTTGTGCCCCATGATGACTCCCCAAGACCATTCTCTGCCCCTACCCCTGCCCCACTTTCCTTGTATCTAGAATGGTGAGAAGAAACCTCCAGAGGGTGGGGTCTCAAGTTAACAACCTGAGGTGATGCTGGGCGGGGAGACAAGTAGAGACACTTTGGAGGGAACTAGATTGGAAGCCAGGCAAGGTGTCTCTGGTGTGATAAGCAGTCAAGAGCGGGAAATTGGGACAGAAATAATCACACTGTTATTTTGCAAGCCTAACTTGTCCCTCCATCTCTAGAAAAGTCTAGCTTTATTCCCAGAATGTGAGAGGCTAAGCATTCTACCTATAGGGCCAGATCTTTTTTTTTTCCATTTTTCTTTATTAAGAAATTTTCTACTCACTCCACATACTATCCACAGATCCCCCCTCCTCCCTCCTCCCACCCCCTAGTCATCTTTCCCAAGCCACCCCACATCCCTACATCCTCCAAATCAAGGTCTCCCATGGGGAGTCAGCAGAGCCCAGCACACTGAGCCTAGGCAGGTCCAAGCCCCTTCCCACTGCACCAATGCTGTGCAAGGCATCACACCATAGGCACCGGATTCGCAGAAGCCTGCCCATAGACCAGGGACAGATCCTGATCCCCCTAAGGCCAGATCTTTTTAACAAAAGCTGCATTAGTCTAGAGATATGGGCATATGTACATAACCTCCCTCTAGGCTACAAACTCTTGGCAGAATAGGAAAGTACCAGTCTTGAGTCAACTGGCCCCATCTTGAAGGAGGCTTGGTTCCAGTCATCTCTGTAAGTGCCCACACTGCTGTGTGTGGGACAGCTTCCTGGAATGAGGGACAGCTTGGCTGCTGTGATTTCCTCACAACAATGCTATGAGCCATTCTAGAATTCTTTCTACTGTCATTCACCCGATGCCCAGCTCTCAGGACGCTAAAGGAGGCTGGGAAGTGTAAGACCACCCTGAGCCACTAGTAAGACCTGTTTGAAATTAAAAAAGAAAGTTCCTGACATTATCTAGTTCTCAGTTTTTGTCTTGTTTTGTTTTGTTTCTTTGTTTTTGTTTATATTTGGTTTTTTGAGACAGGGTTTCTCTGTGTAGTCTTGGCTGTCCTGGAACTCTCTCTGTAGACTAGGCTAGCCTATAACTCAGAGATCCGCCTGCCTCTGCCTCCTGAGTGCTAGGATTAAAGGTGTGTGCCACCACTGCCCAGCATAGTTTACAGTTTTAAAAAGAGGAACAGAAAGCAAGTAATATCAGTGTATCCAATGACACAAATAGCTGGGAATGCAGGGATAAGAATAAAGAAGTGGGGTTGGACAGTGGTGGCACACGCCTTTAATCCCAGCACTCAGGAGGCAGAGGCAGGCAGATCTCTGTGAGTTCCAGGCCAGCCTGGTCTATAGAGTGAGATCCAGGACAAGCACCAAAACCACACAGAGAAACCCTGTCTCAAAAAAAAAACCCAAATAATAATAATAATAATAATAATAATAATAAAGGCATGGGGGCCCAGCAGTGATGATGTAGCAGATCTAGACCAGGGGTCTTGAACCAGACCAGTGACTCTTGTGATGAACGCCTGCATGCACAAATGTATGGATAGAGGGGTTTTCTGTGCGACTCACTGTGTCACACTGCAGCTTCCATGATGAGGTTTCCCTTCCTCCCTTTCTTTTTTCCTTTTTTCTCTTAAATTTTATTTTGTTTTATTCTGGGAGAGAGGGTGATGGGTGGGATCAGGAGGCGTGATATGAAAGACAATGAATAAATAAAAAGAAAGTTAAAAAAAAAAAGAATGAAGGGACAGTCAGAGGTGGCTGCTGAAGACTGCTGTCTTTAAGTAATGTGGGAGCATGAGGCTTGACTTGAGGAGGAAGAAGAAGAACCAGGGTGCTGACAGCGTAGAGGCCTCCCAGGAAGAAGACCTGAGGAAAGAGAGCTGGATAAGAAGGCTCAGAGGCGAATTACTGGGATGGGCAGCCATGGCTGGTCTGAGCAGAGGCCCAATACAACTTGACTCCTGACTCTAAAAGATGGTTCTGGTTCCTGTGTGGGCTGGGAAGAAGGTGGAGCAGGGGGAGCAGTCAGAAGAGCATTTCCGTGATCCACGTGAGAGATGAGGAAGCTCGAACTTCAACGGTGGTGGATAAGCGGCGGTCAGAAAGTAACACGGTGGCCTTGTTAATTTACAAATGGGATGTGGGCTGAAAAGCCAAAGACAAGGGTTTGGGTCTGAACAGCTGGGAGGATGGAGTTGTCATTGCCAGGAGGGGAAGATGGGGGGAAGAAGAGCAGTATAATATGAATGTGCTGCCCCAGAGGGAGAGCCCAGCCAGCGGGAACAGCCAAGGGCCAGAGAACTGGAAAAGCCGGATGTGCAGGAAGCCAGATGCAAGGTTCTTTAGTTGGGGAAGACTGATGTCTCCCTTAAACTTCGTCAGATTTTGCTGGTGTGAAGTAAAGGAAGGCCCTAACAATTTCTTTCCTAACAATTCAATTCAGTTAATTACAGACTATGGCACCCAAGGAGGTTAAATATAGATTTGGCTGCGGACATACAGGTTAGACCAGATACATAATTTGCTGGGGCCCAGGGTAAAATGAAAACCCAGGTCTCTTCCTTTGAACATCATGAAGGTGGAGGAAACAGACGATTAACCTAACACAGGGCCTCATTTGGCATTTCACGGGGTCCTTGCAGCATCCTTACAACACAGCTCTTTCCGTCCTCCATTCCCAAATCAAGAAACCCCATCAGGCAGGACACTGGTGTAACTAAGGTCACAGAACTGGACTGACAATTCGAGCCTCCAGCTCTGGCCCTTCTTAAACTGTATGAAGCCGGGTACCAGTGGAGGGGATGGCTCTCCTGTGCGGCCACCTGGAGCAGGCCCAGCTAAGGAGAGAGGTCTTGGCTGTGTCTTGCAGAGGCCCAGACAGTCTGGAAATGTGGGAGGGAAGGAGGCATACAGCTAAGACCCCCTGGCTGGAGGTCTTCACGGAGACAAGAGTGCACAGGGAAGCAGCTCAGCCATGGAGCAGATATAATTTACTCAGTAACAAAACTGATTAGAAAAAGAGAACATCGCCAGGCAGTGGTGGCGCACGCCTTTGATCCCAGCAGAGCCAGGTGGGATCTCTGTGAGTTCGAGGCCAGCCTGGTCTACAGAGCGAGATCCAGGACAGGCACCAAAACAACACAGAGAAACCCTGTCTCAAAAAA